AATTCTCAAATGTTTGCTCACTCTGTAAAAATCTGTGGAAAAGAACTGAATTCAGTAACAACAGAAAAGTAAACTTTTCTTTTTCTTGTTTTAAAGTTATTAATGGATTTATGTGGCTCCTCCATCACTATTCTTTTACCAGACATTAACACTCGCCCTGTGCGGTCTGCCTGTCCTTCTACTCTGGAAGCCTTTAAGTGTTTATGGAAGTGCAGTTTCAGTTACAGAGCCATTAAGTGATCATTTGTAATAGTGCAGGACCGGCAGCTGAATGTACATCGTCTCTGTGGCAATGAATGCAAAATACCACTGGCCTCTTATGTCGGGTGACTTTCTGTCATTAGAAGTTCTCTCTTCAAGTTACAAATTTGTTTATTTGCAGCCATTTGCAGCCTCCGTCCTGACTAAAATTTCCTCTTTATGAGCATCACTGTCAAAAATTAGATCAGCGCTTTGCCCAAACATTTCAGCTCAGTGGATGAAATTTCATCTGCATACAATTAGCCTCTTCCTACTGTTTATCCTCCTCTGCTGCAGTCGCATGACTTTCTATTTGGATTTCAAATGTGCTACTTAGGCTTGAATGTATTGGTTGCAGTTCATATGATTACATACAGTGTAATACCGGATATCCTGTCTGAAAGACATTTGACAAAGAGAAGCACTAATCTGTACATAAAAGTGATGCGTCAATCCAGAATAAGGCCAGAAATGGTTTTGATCCATACGACGGATGTTCTCTCCATGAAAAGATTCACATCCTCAAATGGCTTCAGCAGATTGTGGAACAGAGTCTGGGAGTTGGTGTGTGAGAGCTGAAACTGCCTACCACTGATCATAAAGGGGAAATGTGCAATTGATTGTAGGTTTGATGTAACAGAGATAGATTGAGCGGTTTTCTCTGGGATGCAAACATTTCGGACACAGGAAGCTGTTTTGAGATGCACGGGGAGATTTTCATTTTCATCCATTCATTCATTATCTATAACGATATATCGAGAATGCCACTCAACAGAGCGCATACCTCCATACATTCCCGTTATGAAACCACATTAAAATTCATTCGATCCAGATTTTTATTTGGATCTGCACCAAATTGAACACACTCCTAAATATCAGTCCCCCTAAATGTGTCTGATTTATTTTTTTTAAATCAAGATCAATGAATCATTTTCTGATTATTGTGATCATTTCGATTATGAGATTCACTGTATTCCACTGTCTACCCATTCTAGTGTTTTCTCTCTTATTGTGCAGAAGCTTCATCTCCTGGTTATTTATACATCTTATTTACAATCAAACCTAAACATCTGCAAAATGCTGTTCAAACTCCAAAATATTATATTCCAATTTAGACTAATGCATTTCTACATAATGTCACTAAGGTCGGAAAACTGCACGTGTCTTAGTTCAGTAATGCTTAATCAAAAAATGCTGTTCACATGGCAGCATCTTATTCAGACTATTGTGTTAATCAGGTTAATATCAGAATACTGATATCAATGTAAATGGTGTCGTACCACTTTATCCTTTGACGGTCATGAGGGTCTGCAGCCAATTCCAGCTGGCACTGGGCAGAAGGTGGGGTGCAGTCTGGTCAGGCCGCCAGCTAATCCCAAGACCAACATAGAGATCAACAAGCATTCACACCTATGGACAATTCAGAGTCTCCGGTTAACCCTTAGCTGCATGTGTTTGGACTGTGGGAGGAAGCTGGAGTTACTGGAGAAAACCCACACGGTGAAAACATGCGAACTCCGCACAGAAAGACCCCGGTCGAACTAGAGTTCAAACCCAGAATTATCCTCCTATGAGGCTAACCACTGCACCACTAATCCGCCTCCTACCATTAACCATGCCTTGGTGGCAGGGCCAAACCCACATCCAGGTGGAAGCCCAGAGAATCAGGACAACGCTTGTAATGGTTTGAATTCTACGAAGTGTCTGTTGTGACCTGTGTGTGTGTGGTTATTTCAACATCAACACTTTAATAATGTAGGATGACTTCAGAGACACTTCACCAGTCTGAACAAGCCATGTGTCTTGCTGAATCTTGAATTCCTGTGACCTTTGATACAAGTTGGATGTGACGTCGTAAAACAAAATGACTCAGAAACAGTCTGGGACTTTGAGCAAAACTCCCACAGCTGTCATCAGATAATTATGTTCAAGTTTTGGCGTTTAGTTGCTCAACAGGAGATTATTCAAGATTCACAGATGAGCCTCGTTAACACAATAAAACACAGCAATTACAATTAAAGTTGGCTATTTTTTCTCTATTTTCTGACCTTTTACAAGCAGAAAGCTGCTAATTGATTAATTGAAAACATAATGAGAAGACCTGCTGATAATGATAATGTCAAATCTTATCAAACTGCTGCCATTCCCATAAAGAAGCCCCTTTAAACAAAGTTGCAACAGTCCTGATGCCTGACTTCAATAAAAAATTACTGATATTGTAAAGGTGTGACCATCCCTACTAGTGACCTGACGCGTTCATATATGGTGCTGCTGATGAGAGATTGAAGATGTCATGTCTCTCTTTTTTATTTTTTTTTTGATCATGTCTTTACAGAGTTCCAGAAAATGACGACATCATACTGATCAGCTGACAACTGTCCCACCTCCAGATGAGATGGTTCGTGGAGGAAGAGGATGCTGGGAACAGGACCTCACATGTCTAACACAGACTTCAGATGCCTACCTGGGATACGTAGAGATAACCGTCTGTGAAGTGCAATATCAAACAAGTCCTCATGAAACTGGAGCTCAGGTGGAAGAGTTGGTACTGGGACTAATGGACCAACCTGTTATTGGACTGTATCTGTTGGAGTTCAGGATATTGACGAGGAGTTTACTCTGCCTTTTTCTGGCATGCATATTCATTAGTTGCCAAAGAACTGGATTTACCGTTGTTCTGAAGTTGAATATAGATTCAAACACCCGTTGGAGGCAACGTGATGCAAGATGTATGTTGTTTGTCAAGTGTTGTCATAGAGACAACATCAAAGCCAATCTTTTTATTTGTTCATTGTTAGAAAACGTTTCCTGTCTTTGCCGAAAATGTCCGAGCTTTGAGAGAAACGGCAGGAAGTTAGAAGTCAAAGCTGTAAATGAATGTGATTATTTATATGGTCAGTATATTACAAGCAGTGGTGGGAGCCGGATATAAAATGTTAATGATGAAAGAGAACTATGAATTTCTTCAGTGCACAGAATAAATGAGCTCCAAAGCTTTCTCTAAATTTCATTATCATCATAATAAGAGTAAATGATAATACAACTTTGTAGCTCTAATCTAAACAAGGTCACAAAGTACTACGAAATATATGGGAAGTAAACGACACAGAACAAAATATGTCAAAAAAAACATTAAGAAGAAACTACATCCATTAAGACCAGTTCAAAATGAGGCATTAAAAGTATTTCCTATAAAAAGGTTGTATAGGTTTTAGTGCTGGCTTGTCCTCCACAGACTAGATCTAGAGCCACTAGGCCCTCATGGGAAAAGCATGGTCACCCTTAGTTACCAGTCTTAACCCAGCAAGTGTTGATGTTAGTAATGTCTTACATTCTGGCTTTAAGCATAGGGAATTATAAAATCAATCCTTAATTCAACTGGCAGCTAATTTTGGCAATATTTCTAAGATGAAAGTCACAAGATTTAATTGACAAGGGCTTCAAATCAATTTGGGAATCAGAGGTTTCTGGCTGTGAACCAGTGAATGGTTGTAGTTTGCCTGCTAGTTGGTCAGGGCCCAAGATCATTACTTCAATCTTTTCTGAATTTATCGACAGAACATTACATCCATTTCTCAATAGCTGTAATAAACTCAGTTGAATTCCTCAAATGACTAAAATTATCTGGTGTAATCGATGAGGAACTCCTGTATAATCTTAATAGCAATGACAGGAGACTCCATTTGATAATTGGATTTCCAATAATAGAAGCATAAAAAGGAAAAAAAGTGGTCCAAAAGAAGAACTCTGTGGCTGATGAGGAAATATTCTGTTACCAATCGAAACAGATAATTCTGCATCTGTGACATGTGATTTAAACCATTGAGAGCCAAACTGATTGAGAAAGAGGGGTTTTTAATGACATCACCAGGACCGGAGCATGACTCAACCCTATTGTTAAATCTACCAGCATGTTAAGATGATAAAACAAGCTGCAGCACGACATCCCACTCAGAGTGTGACTGCTGTTCCATTAACCTGATAATGATCAAAGCAGGTATGTTTTGTTAAACACTTGAATTTGAGCTGACAAGAGTTCATCTGTCTCTAGACCTCTATTGCTCATTGGGCTGCATTTATAAAATCTTAGGGAATTTCTTGGTTAATTCAGTCTAGACGGAATTAAAAAAAATATATCTATATATATCTCCAATCAAATCAACTTGAGTTCAGGTTAAAACAGAGCCCAGTAAAAGAACGAGAGCAGGATACTCACACTAAGGATTTAACTAATCTGTTGGTTTACTTTGAGTCAACAAACGTCAGTGTTACTTTTAAATAACACAAGTTTAGATATAAGGCCTCTGAAACATAACATGCCGAGTTATGCTTATCATTGAAGTGAATTGATTATTTTTGTACAGAGGCCCTTTGTTTAGTTGGTGAACTTCGACTACACTTATGTTAAGACAACACCTATAAAAACTTTGTAAACTGACTTGACATGTTTAAAGTTGCATTTCCGATCATGCAAGCATTTATTTTCTTGCAGTTGGAGTCACTGGTCACTTTTAAAGATTGAGATTTAGAGGTTTAACTAGTGAGTTCATTTCTAAAAAAGGCAAGAGAAGTGTAGGTCGAATCTCTATTTCAAAAACAAAAGTGGTTTTTATTATTGCTTTCAAATAAAATTATACAATTAATGAATTTAAAACATTGAAGTTAATAATACAAATGTCTAATGTGTGTGTCCTCCTTGAGCTGTGTGTGTGTGTGTGTGTGTGTGTGTGTGTGTTTGTGCATGCGGTCAACTGGAGGAATTCACACGTGAGACCGGGTGGCACGCACACGCCCTGTGCGTCACCGCGCAGATTGGAGGAGTGGAAGTCCGGACGCTCCTCTCTCCACCTCTCCGTCTCTCTGTCCCGCCACCTTCACTTCTCTTCCCTCGGTCTCGTCCTTCACTTCACCGTCTCAGCAGCTCCGAGGAAACATGTCCATGAACTCAACACGAAGCATTTCGCAGCCTCCAGTGTCCTGACGCACCGTGGCACAGACTGCGCTCCACTCCGCCGCAGGTAAACTCACCTGGACACACTTTATTCCCTCTCTGCTGTTTACACCTGGACTCCTCTTCGTATATTGGTTCATTTGTCTTTGTTCCACTTGATCTCGTGTCTCTGTGAGTTCTTCTCCTCTTTGCTGTCGTTAATAAGTGGCTCAGGTTGGAAAAGTTAGTTGCATAAGAGCAGCAGGCTCCTCGACGCATGGAGAAGTGTCACTTTAAATGATTTAAATTCTGTGTTGCAGTTTACCTGAAGAAATGTGTTCACACAAGAAATGTCACCATGGCCACTATCGCCTGTAGTAATGGGGCTCATTGTGATTTCATTTCCATTACATGCATTGTGGCATTTGTACTTGCCTTTGGACTCCAGCCAACAAGCCTCTCTTTACCCAGAAGTTATTTGTCCTTGAGAAACAAAAAAATGTGATAAACTAGTGTAGTAAAGCTGTACAGTTCAGCCTGAACGTCGTCTAGTTTTATTTCATCGACCGAATGGCACAAAACTGGATTTGAAATGTTTACAAGGCATTTGAACGTAAAGGTTTTGACAGTTTACGACAATTAAAGGATTGATTGATAGACAGATAGTCAAGAGTAATAAATCCATTTTGGTGATTTATTCATAGTTTAATTAATTTTTTGAGCAAAGTTGTCAAACCTATGCTGGTGCCAACTTCTCAACTCAGTGGGGTTTTTTTCTGATATTTATAGACTAAACATGAATTAATAAACACAATAATTGGTAGCCTGCATTCCTTAATGTCAGGAAGAGGTAGAAGTCTGTAAGAACATTTGAGTTAAGGTAACTTCTTATTAAACGGTTCCACCTCCTATGTCCTTCTCTTTCCACAGAAAATGGCCGAGCAGAACCAAAGCTGTCATTACAATGAGTCCATGGGCTTCTTCTACGACAACGTCAACGCCAGCGATAAATGGAACAAGAACCATCTGATTGTGGTCCAGGTGGTGGGCTCGCTCTTCTGCTGTTTCATCCTGGTCTGCAACGCCATGGTCGTAGCAGCTGTCATCACAAACAAGAGGTTCCACTACCCGTTCTACTATCTCCTCGCCAACCTCGCCGCCGCTGACTTCCTGGCAGGCATTGCGTATGTGTACCTCATGTTCAACACCGGGCCGGTGTCGCGGACACTCACAGTCAAAGACTACTTTATCCGCCAGGGTCTGCTGGACATCAGCCTCTCGGCCTCGCTGTCTAACCTGCTGGTTATAGCTCTGGAGCGCTACATCTCCGTCATGAACTTTAAAGTCCACAGCAACCTGACGAAGAGGAGGGTGACCCTGCTTATTGTGCTCGTGTGGGCCATCTCTATCTTCATGGGGGCCGTGCCGAGCCTGGGCTGGAACTGCATCTGCGACCTGAAGGACTGCTCGCAGCTGGCGCCGATCTTCAGCCGGAGCTACCTGACCTTCTGGTCCGCGTCCAACCTGGTGGTGTTCCTCGTCATGGTGGCCATCTACATGAGGATCTACACCTACGTCAAGAGGAAGACGTCGGTGCTCATGCCGCACACCAGCGGATCCATCAACCGCAAGAGGACCCCGATAAAGCTCATCAAGACGGTTATGGTCGTGCTTGGTGAGTGACACACGTTCAAGTGTTTGACTGATCTTACAACACAGAACATCTCCTGCATTAGTAAAGAGTCAGTAGCTGTGGTTCAGGGTTTATCACAAAGTCACAGAGTCAATGCTGAACACACAGGATTGTTATCTGTGAAGGAAAACTTGTCCTTATCTTTAAGAGTCTTAAATAGAAGAGAAGAAGAGGAGTCAGCAAAGGGTATCTTCTCTGTATATCATGTTATTTGCAGTCTTGTGCTTCTGACCTAAACTCTAATTTACAGTGATGCAGCTAATACATTTGTCATTATTGTTTAAAAGTAGAATTAATGTTTATAAGAGCAAATTTTACAAAGAATAAATGTTTCATTATCTTTACCATGTGACAGAAGCTGCTTCCAGACATTTTCCTGACATTTTTTGGAGGGGCTGTATGTGGGAACGCAAATGTCAGAGTCAATTGCCCAAGAAATAAAAAGTCAGAATGAGCAAGAAAATGTCTGGAAAATGAACAGCGAGCGAGCGAGCGAGCGCGTTGATGACGTTTCTAACAAGCAATGTACACAAAATTGAGCAAAATTAAGATACAAATATCTCAGGATGAAAAAGAGTAAACATGCACAAAAAACCCAAAGGTCTTCAGTTTATGTGCAAACAGCAGCTGGAACCAGAATGTTGCATTTTTGTGATTATTCTGTTTATCCCTGTGGCAGAATCATTGCTTACTCATCAGTTTATCGATTACTCAACAGAGTTTTGGCACCATGACTATTTTTTCTTATCTTGTATTTCCCAGAATTATAGATCTAAAAAGTGCTGAAGCTTCTTTTTCTTCTCATGTATTTCTACGTGATGAGGCAGCCAGACATCCCAGCCCTCATCTCTTTTGTTTACGTGTTGCAACAGGATACCTTGCAATAGAGGCACAGTTCCCAGCTCCCTCTGCTCCCAGCTAATGTCCTGAAAGTCACAATGGGGCTGATCCAGAATATCCTTGTGGTGTGGCCAAAACTTGAAATCTAACTGCAAACTGTCACGCAAGTGTAACACGCAGGTTGTTGTAATATCCAACTGTGGAAATCTGCTGACCCTGAAGCGAGTTCCTCTCAGTGCTGACTCCACACTCACACTTTTTGTTTTCATACACTCTACATACAATCATTGTCGTGCTGTTGTGATTTTGCAGAGCCGCTCTGCAGGATAATCTTTGTGCCATTGTTCTTTGTCTCTCTGGGCACTTTTTCTAGACAGATGGCTAGTGACTGTTCCATGTGTGCTGCAGCGTAGGAGCCGTCTGCCTCTGCACACACTTTATTCTAGAGTGCTGTGTAATTATCTCTCCCTGCAAGGACACTGCTCCTCGGCCTGTGTGGCGTACCATCCGCACCGCACCACACTGGCCTTCAATGAACGTCCCCTCCTCCCTACACCCCAAAAAAAGAAAAAAGACGAACCTATACTTGAGGACCTTGTCAATTGCTTTCAGATGTCGTTATTCGTAGCTTGTGTTAGTACACAACTGTTATCTCTTGATCTTTTAAAGTGTCCCTCCACTCAAAAGAAGTGCTTTGCTTATTGTTGCTTCACTTAGTTTTTGACCTCGTCATCTTCAACTTGAAGGTTGTTTTCTAACAGACGAAAGTTGCTTTGTTTTCACCTTTATTGTTAGTTTAAGACATGCGAGCAGAATTTTCATCATCTAGTATGCAACTTGCACAACTGTGATGTGGAAACTTAAAAAAGTCCAGTGAACCAACTTTTCAGTCTTCAGTATTTTGTGTTAAGGGGGATAAATTTGAAAGATGATGAAACAAATGAAAGAATTGTTGACTTTTCAATGAAGGAGGAGGAGGAATAGCTTTTGAAGTAGATTGTTCAACAAAATCGAACAGAAGCAGAATATTTGTTTGTGTTTACCGGCTGTGATATGGACTCAAATGCAAAATTAAAGAAATCATCAGTGTGATGAATATGATGGTGTAGTCAGGTCTGAGAGATGTAGAGTCTCCAGGTGAACTGCAGTCTGCTCAGGCGGAAATGGCAACTGGACAAACCAGTTCAGCGCTGGATGAGATGTTTATCGGACACAGTCACTGTTCAGCCTGAACTAAAGGACGACCGCATGTAAATTTGCACTTAAAACAAAGATTTAGTTACTTAAATGTTTAAACAGATACAGTTAAGAAACAGCTTCTCTTTTGATCTCTTGCTTACATTTGTGCTTTGCTGTTTATTGAACTAGTTCGGTACAATATCATTAGTAGGAGTTTGTTGTCGTGACTCATAAAACTGCATCAGACTGATTCCAATTTTTTCTTCTTACAATTGACATGATTTGCAATAGTGTGTGTTTAGTTCACCTCGATGTGACCTCGTTCTGTCCTGAGCAACATGATATTCTACTACTTTGTTCTTTTTTGTCTGTCTAAGCTGCTTTTCTTTGTATTTATGAATTGTCTTGCTCTATATGTCCCCAGAGGGTCCCTGCCACTGCTGCACAAGGAACATATGCCCGAAATGTGTTCTCAGAACTTTTTTTCTTCATCTGCGATTAAAGAGGAGGAAACTCTACTTTAAACGTGTGGCTTACATGAAAAAAATGCAAGTGAAAGTCCTTTGAATGGGTTCTCACTCAATTTCCATTCAGTTCCTTATTTATGTGCTCCATCAAAGACAAAGACATAGGCTGGATAAAAAAAACTGTGCAAAAAGGGAATTCTCTATAAAAATGTGGCAAACTTTTTTAATTTCAGGCGTAGATCAACATTTCTACCAGAATGTCTCTGTGTTTATCTATATGTATCCATATAACCAAATGAAGAAGGGGTGTGTATAATGTGTGTAGAACAGTACTTGTTTTTGTTCTGTAGAAGTTTTGAAGCCGCAGACGTGCTGGTGGTGTAGGCAAGTCTCAGCTTGTGGCTTCCTTTCAGCTCCACAGAATCTCCTTGTAGTTCTGTTTTGTGCCCAAACAAGTTTGAAATAGTTGACTAATTAGCTGCCTCAGCATTAAACACAGCACAGTTACCATTCTTAACGTAATGACAGTACATTCTGTGTTATATCTTCATTAGTGGAAGTATATGAAACCACCAAATACATACTCATTTCTTTTTCAAACAGTCTTCAACTTTTTATTACCCATCTGAGCTGAGTCTGTTGTTCTCATAAGAATGACAAGTGGCGGGAGCAGGAACAGGGTGAATACACGAACACGAAGTCTGATGTTAAAACAAGTGATCAGTGAATCAGTTCCAGCTTGTTAAATGTGAATATTTGCTGCTTTTCTCTGTTATTTTTTTCTTCTAAATTATAGATCAGTGCAGCTCATCAACCCATCCGTTATCTGCCTTTAATCCTTTGGTTATTTGGGAGCTGGAGCCATTCCCAGCAGACATTGGGGCAGGCTGCCTGCATATTGCAGGGCTGACATACAGAGACAAACAACCATTCACACCTAAGGACAATTTAGAGTCAACAATGAATCTAACCGCAGTCTGCATGTGTTTGGACTGTGGGAGGAAGCAGGAGAACACACGCAGATATGGAGAGAACAAATCAGCTCCAATAAAGTTGTGGCTTTTCTGGTTACCAGGAGGTTTTCAACCATGTCCATTTATTTGTTCTTTGGTTTATTGATTTTAACACTTGGTGGAAGGATGTGGTCTGGGTCAGAGAGGATTTTTAGTGCAGATGCATTGCAAGATCAACATTTTCATTGTTTTCCCAATGAATAATTCATGGAGCTTGAGGGGGAGGTGTGCATACTAGTTTGACTTATATCTTGGCCCTATTTACTGGCCAGGAGCAGGAAGAGATTGCTGAGTTAAGAAATAGTCCTGCAGGACAATGATGAAAATGATAAACAGCCTTTTTGTAAATTGGTACTAAAACAGTCACACACATGCACAAAAAAGGAAACCTGTTGGAAAAAGTGTTAGAAGAATCTGTGTGACTTGCCCTCTGTTATTTTTCGTGTAGGGGCCTTTGTGATTTGCTGGACCCCCGGCCTGGTCGTCCTGCTGCTGGACGGCCTCAACTGCCAGAGCTGTAACGTCGTGAAACTGAAACCCTGGCTGCTGCTGCTGGCCGTACTCAACTCCGTCATGAACCCCTGCATCTACTCCTACAAGGATGAGGAAATGTGGACGACCTTCAAGAACCTCATGCGCTGCATCGGAAACGGCACACGGAGGCAGCGCTCGACGAAGGCCAACGCCAGGCCACTCAGCTCCGGCCAGGACACAGGCAACAGTCAGCCACCGTCAGAGGAGATGAAGAATGAAGATCAGGGAATCCTCAAGACCTGAAAAATGGAACTTGTGAGGAGTCTTTTTTTCTGGCCAGCGTTGCCTGGACGTACCTTTCTTGAAGATTCAGATTGGAGTTGACAGAAAGAGGAGCTCCACACCTTGTCTCCACTGTTGCCCTCAGATTAGAAATACTGAACTTGAAGAGACGCTGCAGGTTAACTGCTCTAGAGCTGAGGCTGGGGTGAGGTGGAGCTAAGAGACTTAAATGCACTAATAAAAACTAATAATGGATGCAAGGAGGTGCTTTTATTAATATTTCCAGGTTCTTTTTTCATTTTTGAACTTGACTCCCACTTCCATATAATGAGAGAGTGCTGATGCTGTTCCATCATCATCTCCTCATCCCTGTAGGTTATTGATGACCCTGTGCTCCAATGACTAAAGAAAGAAGCCACTATAACAGCACATACCTTTCTGTTTTTACCTAAAAGTAAAATGGTTAATTTCAAATTTTCCACAAAATAAATTGTTGTCTCTTCAAAAGATGAACTATAGTCAAATAAGCCACTTGGTTATAGGCAGGTAGTATACAATTTGATGTTTGTGTGAATAAGGCGTGGTTTTATCATTTTTTTCATTTCTTTTTAAAACACCCAGTAAGAATTACTGTACACTGCTGTCCTGAATTCATGGACTTATATATTCTGCAACAAGTCATTTCAGCTGTTTGACAGTGAGCATGCTAATATTATTGGCCATTTAATCCTTTGGTTTATGAGTCAGTTTTGCCTTTGGGGAAGAGATAACAGCTATCACTCTTCTCTGGACCCAGCTCTCCTCTTTTATCAGCTCATCTAAGCAAACAGAAATTTAACCTGCAGAACTGTAGGCAGGCAAACTTGTTCACCCTGTAGCATGTTATACATCCGCCTCAGCCCACTGAACTCACTGCTGTCGCTCTGTCGCCCAGAGAGTGGAGGGATTGTAAAAAAAATTGTGTTGCGACACACTGGATTCCTGCTGGAAGTTCAGCCTACACTGTGTATGTACAGGAACTGAAGAGCATATGACTGAATGCTGCTCCTGCTGTGACGCCTTTTAAGACTTTTCTTGGGAGTGTAGGAGGCCACATATTAGAGATGTGTGTGGAAAGGTTTACAGCTTCAGTGGGGTTCCTTTATTGAACTGAGGGTTTTCCTGAGAATTTCCTGTGTCTGTGTCTTGTATGTGTTTAACTGTTTAAAATCATGAAAGTGACCTTGCTAAACAACTTTAGTTTTTAGTTTTTTCTTTTTTCTTTTCAGATATAACATGTACAATGTGTCTGTTTTCTCTTAATGAAATAACATGATAGAGAAACAGCTGCAGTGTGGAGATTAGTTTCATTACAGGGCTTATAATGACGTTTACTGTGTAGTTGTCTTATATGAACATCAGGTTGAATGATTTACTCAAAGTTCAGGGTCAAATGATATATATATATATAATGTATTATTATGATGTATAATAATAATAACATACAGATTGTGACTAAATCCTCAACTTTTATTATATTTTCTGTCTTTCACTAATCAGGACATGTTTAGCCTCTGCAGCAGTAGGGCTCATGGTCTGTGTTGGTCAGTTGTTTGACCAGACCACCGCTATGTTCCGAACTAAAATATCTTTACTTCTGTTGATGGTTGGTCATTAAATTCTTTACAGACATTCATGATCTGCAGAGGAGGAATCCTGCTGATGGGAGCAAACCCCTAACGTATCATTTAACACCTCCAGCAAGTGAGTGTTTTCACTTGTCTCGTGAAATTGCTCGACTTCTGCTAGAAACTTAGCTCAAGAAAACAGAAAAAACATGGCACAGACATTCATGTCCTTCTCAGCATGAATTGGAAGAACTTATTGTCATTGTCAGTTTATTTGTATCTGTCCAGTAATTTAGTTCATGATCAGTTATAGTCAGCCTAGGCTGTGTTTAGCATGCATCATATGACTGTGTTTGCATTGTTGTGCAAACACAGTCACTGTGAGCATCTTAGCCTGCACATTATTTAATGCAGCTTCACAAAGCTGTTGGAGCGGCTGCGGCCTTCGAAAAAAAAGAACACACCACCAACTTGGCACCTGACAACCAACCCATAATGTTACTTGCAGATCCTGTTTGACAGAGTCTCCTCATTTTAAAGAAAGAAACTGTCAGTAACTATATTTGGTATAAGCCTACATTCTCAAATGTCGGTGCTCTAACAAAAGAAACACTGAAATCATTATGGGACGCTCTGATTACATGACTCGCTCTACGCTCAGTAAATGATGACGTACCACTGCCTGAGATTTCCGACGCTCTTGAGCTGCCACTTCAGGATTATTTACCCTTTTCAGGCCAGTTGATGAATGACCTTTTCTTTCAAATCAAGCCGTCTCCAATTGGACAAAGATCCAGAGGAAAAGTACTTTACTCTGAAGTGGGAGGAACAAGAGTTTCCACTTAATTAGGCTGCAAACCACTTGCATCAGTGAAAGTGCCCCCCCATCCCACCTGCCGAAAAAAGCTTTCTCCAATGAACTTGACACTATTTGGTGTAAAAAAAGTAAATAAACCAAGGCAGTCTTGTTGTGGAAATTAGAGAAATTAGGCCTTAATTAGTGTGGCTTATGCACACTGGCCTTTTTCAGTGTGAATAATGTAATATATAGGCTTGTAAGTGTCTCTTTAATGTGGTGTTTATACAGTATTTGTATATATTTTAGTGCTGGGTCATTCACTGCAGTGTGCACGTTGTCTAATTGTGGCTTTTCCCTACTATTTGAGTTGCCTGCTCTGTCTATCCCCTTGTGATGTTGCAATTGTGATGTAATATCCTGGTCCAATCCTTCAGGCCCCAAGCAGAACCTGTGACTTAATGTTATTGTGTCTTTGCTGCCCAGCTAAGTCTAGCTAGCCGACGTTAGTAACCTGTACATCGGTAAAAGACAAAGTTTGTTTCACATCATATTTATTTTATTTCATCTAAGATCCACGTGTGGCATCTTAAACACACTACAGCTTCTACCTGGAAACACATCATTAGACTATGACATCACTTCCCGATATTTCCCAGGCCTATGTATGTTTTTCCTTTACTTCTGGTTAGTCACCCTGATGAAGGCCAGTATGCCGTAATGAGTAGATGGATTTTTTTTTAAATCTGTATTTACTAGCCACAATAATAAATACTTTTCAGTTTTTCCACAGCTCTGGAACAGTGCTTTAGTTTATTCCCTTTTTTGCATCAAAATGAAGATCCTGTTTTTACACACATATTTCCAAACAGACACACTTTGCCTTTCTGACACTAATTGTATTTAACCTTTGAATATCACCCCTCTCAAATGTTTTAATGAGCGATGTTGTAGTCTAAAGGTGAAACAAAAATACATTTAACCATTAACACATGCTTTGTAGGTTATAAACACCATAGTCATGTATCTCACATCTCAATGTTAACCAGCTTTTAAAATTGATGTTAATATATTCTGCACACTGTAAACATAGCTTCTCTGCTTTTCCCATAAATCCTTTCAATCCTGTTTAAGATTCAAACCTCCCCTCTAATTAACTTAAGCTGGCATGAATGAAATGCAAACCTGTCGTCCAAACCCTTTCACTCTTCACAGCCACAAACCCACAGATGTTTGCATTTCCCTGTCATGCTGTTTTTTTTTTTAAATGCAATTACGTACATGACTCGACATACATCAAGGAAAGGTCACATCTATAGCATGTAAAGACGTTTTTGTTTGACTCAATGTAAAGTCATGTGGTTTCTATTAAGATAGTGCTGTATGTCCTCGGCAGATCCCTCTGTAGACCTGTCGTGAGTGTCGCTGGCCACACTGGCTTTTGAATTCCCCCAAAAAACATGAACTGTAAACTGTTTGCTGTGGCAGCCCTTTTTTTCTACAGCTGTGCTCTAATTACGCATTCCTGAAAAGCCAATTAAATTACCCAGATGTTAAGAAGTCCTGTCTTTTTTGGTTTGTTCCTAATCTCGGTGGAAAACAGATGTAGGCAGAGATGGAGAAGAGTTTGTTAATGTTTTAGAATTACCCCTTGTGCTAAAAAGACGAGACCTAATACAAAGTCTCATGTTTAGATTGACTTATTCAGCTGCGACAGACACAGTAATAAAAATCCTCCTACATGATGATCCAGTGTGTACGGATGCAAGTAAACACAGCTTGACACTTTGTACACAGTCTTCCTTGTGTCAACAGTCCAGGCTGCTGCTGCTGGTGGAGTGAATGTTTTCTTATACAGAAATACCAACCAATCATCAGCTGACTGTCACAACCCATCTGAGTATTGTTTGACCATGTGCATCTCCTCATGGCCTCAGTGAACCATCTTCTAATGGATAATGCCACATAACAAAGCAAACAACGTTCCAAACTTGTGTCGTGAACATGAGAGTGACTTCAAGGAATTTCAATGGCCCAGCCAGTCACCAGATCAGAATCCACTGGAACTAATGAAAGATGTGGTTGAGCTGGAGATTCATAGCATGAATGTGCAGCTGATGAATCTGCGAAAATGATGTGATGCAATCATGTCGACACAGATCAAGAACTCCAAGGAATGTTTACTACGTCTTGTGGAATTCATGCAATGAAGAACTGAGGCAGGTTTGAGCAAAGGGAAGAGCTACCCAGTGTTGGTGTGGTGTTTCTAATAAAGTGCTCGGTACATATACCATACATAAACGCATATAGTCAGTTGACCAAGGCTCCATATTTGGATCATGTCATGACAACTGAGGTAGCTCCATTATAAGAACAAATCGTGTTTTTATTACTCAAAGCAGGGAAAGTTTACAGTATTTTTTTAGTTTTGGTATAAAAGCATATTTGCCAGGAGTACCGAAAAATCGGTGACTGGACAGAACTGAAGTAGATGTTCAAATCAGATGACAGGTTGACAGGAAAACTGGAATTACTGCATGCAGTTGTATAATTCTGCCAGATTTTCAATGACTAAAATCCTTCATCCTTTTAAAATACATAGTTTAAAAACGACTAAGATCTAAAAGCCGTAATCAATAAATGTTATAAATTGGATAAAAATCAGTTTTGAACACTTTTGGAAGAAGAATCACAACACTGATGCATTTGTGAAGGGGATATGACACCACTGACATTTAAATAGATCATTACCCTGAGAGAAATTATGGATTTCTGACTAATCAGATTGGTATGATTGAAGTACAGAACTTAACATAGCCTAACTCTAACCCTAACAGAGCGCTGATGGTCAGTTCAGGTGCAGCAGAAACCTCGGGCCGATTCTGACCTGGACAGTGAAGGTGACACAATCAACCTGTGATTGGAGAGCCTCTTCTACTGATTGGACAATCAGGGACAAGGGTGGGTGGAGAGGGGTCTTAAGGAACACACACACACACACACACACACACACACACAGACTCAGAGGGGAGATGTGGTCATTCACCCGGTCGGTCAGTTTACAGCAGGTCAGACTACAGCAGCAAACTTCCTCATGGCTTTTCGGATAGCGGCATCCCTCTACCTGTATTTCCTGTTGGTAAGCTCTCCATTTATCATGTATCTTTTCATTTAACACCACAGCAGCTTTTATTTCTAGAGAGGATTCTTAAACTACTTAACTTTTTATAACAATGCTCTGTGATGTGATATGAAATTTGACTTAATACAACAGAGCATGGATTATAAACAACTGTTTAAAATGAGCTTATAAAAATCACATTTTTATTTTTTGCTCTCGAACCCCTCTTTGTTTGTTGCCTTGTCAGAAACACTTGCTGCTGTGGACATGTGATCTTGTGGAGTTTTTTCAGTGTATTGCTCTTTTCTTGCAGGGCTGATTTCCTAGATTATAAAAGAATGTATATGACCAGTGTCTTTTTTTCTTGAATAAAGTAATAATACTGTATTCTGTATTCTAAGATATATCTCCCACAGTGTTTTACTTGTGTTGTTGATATTTCTTCTGTTTCATTTGACTTCTTCTCATTTTGGCTCAGAACCAACAAAGCTCTGCAGAGTTGTGTGTTTAATTTATTTACAATCTGTCTTGATCAACCTTGACACACTGACAAATCATGTGCATAAAACTTCTGCTCCGAACTGCAGGGGGTAAATGGCTGGCACGACCTGGACAACACAGAGTACGACTGTTGGCCGATCAACAGTCCAAATGATTACAACATGATGAGCTGTGGTGGTAATTCTGCATTATGCATCGATTTGCTTGTTTGTGTGTGTTTTTAGTGACACTGTTAAATCAGATGTTTTCCTGCTCCAGCTGAAAAGGGAGTGAGACAACATTTGTGCAGAATTAATTACGGTGACTTAAGAGGTGGGGCTCCACATTGTAAAGCTGCTTGTGAAAAACATACAATACATGTGCAAACAGTATCCCTTGTTGAATTCATGCATGCTTTGTTTGAGTATGTCCAGGTGATGTGCATGTGTGTGCTCATAGGTCTGGAGATGGCCTGGGTTCAGCGTCCGCCGGAGAAGGTAACCAATGGGGAAGAGTTCAATGTCTCATACACGGTGACGGCCGCAGATTCCTTCTACGAATATGCAGTCAGGAACAAGATCTTCCAGTTTAGGTGAGTGTGTTACATAAACTCCTGTACGCCTGCCATGCACACACACACACACACACACACACACACACACACACACACACACACACACACACACACACACACACACACACATCGTCACACACGTCGTCAATTCATTTAAAACTTGTAAGGGTTTTTCTATATAAAAACTCACCTCCACGATAACTGTTCAAATTTTGTGTGTGTGTAATAATCTGAAAACAAACGTGAGTGACTAAATTATCTATAAATACAGAAACAGAATCAACATTTGTTTCATCATCGTGTTGAGATCAATTAAAAACTGGTTGCCCTCCTGGTTTTTGTTTGAGCTTCCATTGGTAAATATCATCATGGAGAGATGTGCTAATGAATGTGTTTGTCTAACCATCCATTCTCACGTCTAGTGATGCGTCTGAAGCAAAGAGGTTCTGTCATGAACACGAATGCCCGGCAAACTGGAACAACGCCAACGAAATGAACTGCTGCGTGTATCACGCCAACATCCACTCCTGCCCTCTGGGCCTCATGGTTGGTAACACCCATCAGAGAAGTGAGGCTTCTCCTTGCCAAACACCCTGTCAACATCTTCTTCTTAGTATAATAAGACAGCCAGCCTGTATGATCTTGCTTGAGCTTGCAGTAGAGCTATTGTGTTATCTGTAATTGCATTACATTGCATACTATATCAGAATTACTGCCCTGTGATTGGTTGCCCCAACCAGTCTACATAAATATTCACAGAGACCTTCACCTTTGACATTCGATCAGTTCATCTGTAAGACCAAATGAGTGTTGATAGCAAATTTGAAGAAATTCCCTCGAGGTGTTCTTGAAACATCGTGTTCACAAGAATGGGACTGACGAAATGGATAGACAGATGAAGACATAATGCGGCGACTGGCTGTTGTTGGCACTGAGGCATACAAATATGAATTATCTATCTCGGAGAAAAGCTTTGCTTGATGAGCTGTAAGATATTTTAGACTGCACTATTACTTTTGATTTGCTTGTATTAAATTAAAAAAAAGCACACCAGACGGTCCAGGTCAGCAGATACTCACCAGAGAGCACATTTGAACAGCCTCTCCTCAGCTGCTGTTCTCCCTCCTCACAGAAACAAGGTGGAATCTGCGGCCCGTGGATCCCTGACGATGGCAAAATAGTGACTCACACTGTATCCAAAGCAGGAAAGATGTCGCAGAAATACTGGACTTCAAAGGTGAGCAGAGCCAAACAAAATTCTTTCAGAGAATTGATCATTTATAACATGTGTTGAGAACATGTGTAGTATTTCTCACAGATCCACGTGAAGTTACTTACTGCAAATATTTATTTAATACTTCACTGAAAGTAGGATCCAACACACAATATGGATTTGATCAAAGCGACTCATTGTTTTTGTGGAGCCTGTAGTCTGTTACATTGCAACATAGCTGCAGGTTGGAATTACTTGTGTATTAGTAGGAAATGACAAGTGCCTCACTGAATTACTGTAAATTTAGAACTACAGGCAAAAACTAGATTGACTTAAAAATGTCTTGCTATGTTAAAGAAAGTAAAAAAAACATTCTTTTGTGTTTGGTTTAAATCTGAAAAGTCTGGAAAGTGACAATCAGCTCATATAATAACACATATATCTACAGCAGGGCTTTTTCTACTTGTACATTGTTTAATATAATATTATCAGCTTGTTTTATGGATCCAATCATTTTAGATAGAATACTTTTAATCCCCTGAACTTTTTACTGGCAATTAAGACTTTTGATATAGATGCAGCCTGACTCTTCCACAGTTTAACTGCACTTTGTTTTTTGTCATTCAGGTGGTGCTGATCCATGTGGGAGTCACCTCAGTCATTGCTCATATAAAAATAGGACAGATGCACGCAGCACTGGAGTCCAAAGTGCTTGTTGTCAGTGCCCAAGGTCAGTGTGCTACTGCTAACACATACGGTTTGACCACAATACAAAATAAGTGTGTGTCTGTGACACATAGTATTACATAGATAAGTTGTTATATCAAGAAACATTATGGGCAAAGTGAACTTGTATTTGACCTTGCAGTAAAATAATCTTCATTTCAAAACAACTGATGCTATCAGCTGATTGGCAATAAGAAACTTAAATTTGTACTTGCTGGCAGAAACACAGATAACCAATACAACCGTCTGCCTGCAGGAAAGTTACAACATACAAACTTTTATACAAAAGGTATTCATCTCTTTAGTCTGTCAGTGGTAGAAAATAACCAATTACATTTGATGCTGTACTTAGTTACCATTTGTGTTTATGTTTTATGCTACGTCATACTTTTACTTGACTGAAGTTAAATAGTGTTCTAATTGAGGGAAG